GGCCCGGCTCTCTACGGCTTCATCTTCTTCCTGTTCAACGTGGAGCTGAACGAAGTGGAGCCGATGGCAGGAAGATCCACGGCGAGCACACAGGTGCGTAGGAATGCGCCTTGCTGATTCTTTCCTCGCTGTTCTGTTTCCCGTAACGAGTCGGTTCTCTCTCCGTCTGTAGAAGCTGGTCGTCCCGGGCCCGCCCTTCCTCTTCGGCGCGTGCAGCGTCATATTTGCTCTAGTCGTCGCCTTCTTCATCCCTGAGCGCCACCAGCTGGCCGAAGTCAAGACCTGCACTGCCAACAAGGCCGGCAGCAGCTCTGCCGCACACGCTCAGAACGGCAGCCCTCTTGCCGTGCCCATCAGCGACACAGAGGACCTCGAGCCGCTGCTGCAGGACAGTGTCATGTGACTCGCAGGCAGCCTGGCCAATTACAGAACAGAGTCTTGTCTGCAAGTCCCACCCCCTGTTAAAAAAAAACAAACCCTCTCTTCCCCCATCAGACCGTCGGGGAACGTTAGGCGGCGGCCTCCCCGGCAAAATGCTTTTTATGTCACTGATATCACTCACCTGTGACTCCTCCCATTCTTTGCCCAGGTGTGTTTGGGCAGGTAGAACCAAAGGGCTTTGAAGTCTCGCCTCAGTAAGAGTCGAGATCTCACCGTTAAAACAGCCAATCACAGCGAGGGCGGGACCAGAGAAGCCAAAGCAACTGACAGCAGCCTCCCATACCTGACTCCACCCGTCAGGTTCGCAGAGGTGAGGCCATCAAATGCTCCTCGCTGTACGGGCGTGAAAGCTGACACTCAAAACTACGTTGGTTTTCTTTGGGGGGGGGGGGGTTGTTTTTTGGACCGGAGGGCGAATCTTGGCGAGGACGAGGAGGTTGGAGCTGCTCGGGATTGTGGGATACGATACCAAATCATGATGAGATCCAGGTGTTTGTTTTCTGTCTGGATCTATTTGCGCTCAGACTTCCCGTCACACAGAGCGTGTGCAAACTGACTGGCTATGATGTCATTGCCCTCTCCCGTCAGGAGTTTGCATATTTGGGAGAAATCCGAGTAAATAAACGGCGTGAAGCTGGAGGCGTCATTTAGCTCCGCCTCATTATTTCATCATTTGGTCTCCCAGTTTAATCAATCAGGCTTTTAATTTACTAATGTGGTGTTTTTGCTTTGAGCTGCAGGTGTGGTCGTTTTGTTTCAGTGTCGATTTTCCTGCTTTGATCCAGTAAACTGGACTCGCTTTGACCCGACTTCAAATCAGCATTTAAATGCATTTCATGTATTTATTTATTTCATTTTTCTTCTCAGCCCTGATTTCAAACCTCTGCCCTACAGACGGTCTCATGTTTTGCCTCCTCCTGTCCTGTAGAGGGCGCTGTGCTGCTGTTTTATAGCCTAAAGCTGGGCGACGTCTGCAGGGTTGGAGGTTTTACAGCGTGGATCAAATTAATATCAAAGTTTTCCCTGAGCCGCAGTGACAAGTGATGGTTTTAAGGACAGAGAGCACCACCTAGTTTTTGCCATTGCTCCTCCCACTATCTGAGCCTCCTCCTCCTCGTCTTCTTCTTCTGTTTTAATACTTGAAGTTTGTTTCTGTTTGACCTGAAAGTGCTCTCCCCGTCCGCCTGCCCCTTCCAGGTCGGACAAATCAAACGCTCCAAGTTACTGATGCAGTTTGAACCTTGGCGGTCCCGAGGCTGCTCACAAACCAACCGGTGCCGTGTTTTATTTCTCTTTTGTGCTTATTTTGCCTTTTTGTTACAGGCTGTATTTCTCAGAAGGTCAACAGATCAGTTTAAAAAAACCTGATCAGTCGTTTAAGTCGAGTTTTCTCCCAGTTCAGGTTAAAAACCATTGCATGTGCGCTCTGTGCAGGTTCTCACGTTTGCCCCTTAAAGCTTCAGCCTTCATGATGGGTTCATGTGATGTGTGTATTTTTATGCACAGAGCTCCGGCGGTCCTGGAGGTCTCTTCATGTCCAGTTTGAACCAGTGAAACCAGTTTTAGAGCACATGTGGGGCTCCAGCTGTTGCTTAAAGACAGATCAATGACTCAATGATCTTGTGAACCAGAGCACAGGTCAGGTGCGTTTACCTGCACAGCTCGGCTACTGTAAGTGGAATATAACTCGTGCTGCATTCAGGCTCTGTTTCTGTGTGGGAGATGATGGTTTTTGACAGTTTAAAGTGACCAAAGGTTCTCTGACAGATGACGTCACCTTTGAGTGGTAGTTCTTCCTTTTTTCTTTTTTTCCCCTGAATGCAGCATGAACGTTGTCATGGCTACAGGAATGCCTGATCATCCTGTTGTGACGTTGATGATGATGTAGCTCAGAAGCACAATCGACTGTTAGAGAAGCTCTCGGCTTAATAACCTTTAACCTTTTAACCCTTAACGCCCACTTGCCGATGATGTCAGATGGTTCATTTTCCTATGCTCACCGAGTGTCCTCAAATGCCTCGTGGAGAGTACTGAATGGCTTTCTGTCTGGAATATTCTTTAGTTTCAGTCCAATTTAAAACTGGATCATTGGATTTTTTTTCCGTCTCCTTCATGTTGGAATTCAGAACCTAGATTTAGTGATCCGGCCGGATGACTCGGTCATTCTTCCTGGGTCGAGTTTCCTGCTTTTCTCTGTTAAATCTGACGATGAGATGAATATTCTGGAGATTAGGGCGGCTGAGTGTTTACTCCACGATGAGGTTAAGAGCCGAGTCGCTCCATCACGTCGTCGTCGTGACATAAAGTTTTTAATGAATTTCCCCGTTGACGATCCTCTGAAACTGTTCATGAAGTGAAACGTGACGTTTTTAAATGTCGGCTTGTGTTTGGTCACACAGACGATGGAGGCTGTAAATCCTCCTCAGAGGCTTTTTTTTCTTTTTTTACGGTGAGGCGTGAAGGCTGACGCGCCAACATGGCCGCCGCAGAGACTGACAGACATTCCCAGATGTTCCCTCCTCTTCCTCCTCCGTGCAGACCTTTTGCTGATTGCTGCACTTTAATTTCTCTGAACGTGTGCCTGAATCACTCGTGTTCATATCACTTTTATATTTAAACCGAGAGACGTGTCACGTATTTTGCTTTTGCTCTTTTATCTTAAGAACATAATTTTGAATAATATCTATGATAACGTGAATATTAATAACAATAAAGAGAAACGTGTGACATTTGAAATGTGTGGTTTTTTATTTCAGTTTAATTTGTGACTTTTTTTCTATTTAAAATTTAATTTTTTATTGATTAAAACAAAGAAAAGTGAGTATTTGTTTTGTATTTTATTTCCTTGTTATTTTTTTCTTCTTTACTCTAAATTTGAGAATTAAAAACCCAACATTTCCTTTATAAATATAAAATAAGTCCACCTAACGATGCAGCGGTTTGTCGGTCCTCCCTCTGCAGCAGTGACCTGCATGATGGCCCTGTGTGACATCATCAGTGCTTCAGCTCGTTCGTGCTCAGCTCTCTGAAGCATTCGTACGTTACTTTGGTCAACAGACAACATGAAGTGTTCTGATTAAAGATCGACCAAATTAAACTTCAGTTTATTTAAATTAGAAAGTTTGTCAAAAGTGCGCCCGTTATTGAAAAATGTGTTTTTACAAACATTAAATGAATAAAAATAAAATCACAAACGTCTGAATCGAAGCAGCTTCAGTAAAAATCACAAATACAAAAAAACGTTTTTCTCCATTTTACAGAAACTTTAAAAAAAAAAAACTTTTTAAACAGCAAAAACTTTTCTATATTTTAATGCACAAATCAAAGCTGCTAAGTTTGTAACTATGACAACCACAGAAAAATACACTAAAAGAAATCATAGAAATCAAACCTGATAAACAGAAAATCTCTATTTGGTCACAACTTTCACACTTTGAACAAAAAACTACATTTACACCAAAAAATCAGCTGATAAATGTGAGAAATGTAAAAGTGAAAAAAAATCAAATCTGCTCAGGATCACAAAGAAATCAGCTTCTGTCTGTTTTTATTGATTTCAACTGTGAATTAGATTTTGAAATGAAGAGATTTAGACAGTCGACATATTCAAAACTAAAAGAAAAAAGATTCATAAATAAAACAGTTCAGCGATCGATTAACAGGAATTGGAATTGATTTTATCTTCATCAATATTTAATGTAAATATATGAAAGTTGACGCGCATCCACAAACACATTTCGACTGTAGCGTCTTGATTTTTGTTAAATATGATTTTTTTTTCATTTGACATGTTTTAATGTTTGAAGTCAACCAGCATCAGAAATATGAATTAATATCAAACACTTGGACTTCCTGTCTAACAGATTCAATTATTAAAAATAAACTTAAAAAATAAACTTTTTTCCTGTAACTTTTATGTGAGCATGTCTTTTTATGTATTCGGTTTGTTGTATCATACCCAATAAATATACTCTCAATAACATCCTACATGCAATACTTAATTATTAATTTTAATAATGAAGTTTGAAATAAATTAAAATGACCTGAGATTAATGCATTCAGTGTTTACGTGAACGTCCTACTGATTTTTTTTCCCCCAGATTCAACGATTTAACAATAATTAGTTTAAAAAGAATATTAATAAAGGACTAAACTTTAATATGTTGTCTTATAATTTCGAGCTAGTATGAAAGATTAAAAACACATTTTCACCTCCCATGTTAACCTCTGTTAGCGTCCTCTTTTGAAATTCCTCAGTGCTGTCATCCTTCAGTCATCATCCTCTCAACCTTCACTGGCTTCCTCCTCCTCTTCCTCAAAGCAGGCAGGAAATGGAGACTTTGGTGGTGGCGTAGGGTACGGTGTCTGGCGTGGGACAAACCCCCCCCCAAAACACATGAGGACGGGTTGTTATGAGTGTGAAGTCTGATTACCGACAGGACGAAAAACATACACTTAGTAAATATTACAGTGAAGAGTTTTCCTCCCAATTAAGCACAAGTTAAAAGTTATTAATGAAAAAACCTGAAAACAACTAATAACAGGTGATTATAATAAAGATGATTCAGAGATCACTAATCAGTAAACCCAAAGGTTTTCTAATGTATTCATTTATTTAACTTTATTTTTTATACACTTTAAATCCAAACAGAAAATTCAAAAACGTCTCCACAGTTTAAAATGAGAACATTTCTGATGATCTCGTCATCATCAAGTTCACACTTTACTTCAGCAAAGCTCTCATATTTTAGACTTTTGTGTAATTTTAAAGTAAAACGGTGAGAATCTGGCGCTGAGACTCACCTCTGTCCTGCAGTGAGCTGATGTACGCTTCAATGAACTCTTTCTCTCCACTATCCTTCACCTCCTCTGCCTCCCTCTGCTCCCTCCACCTCCTTCTCACACCCTCTTTCTTCTTCTTCTCTTTGCTCGCAGGGTTGTCGTAGAGGCGAATGAACCTGAAGAAGAGCAGAGACAAACATTAAAAAAGTTCTGACCCCTCTGAGCTGACTCACTTCAGGCTGCTCCTCTTCGTGAAACACCGCTGACCGTGACCTTTTGTGGCCCTCTGTGGGTCTTATGAGTCACCAAATTAATGATGAAGGCCAGTGGAAATCAAATTTACCTCTTACAGCAGACTTACTGCTGTAAATACAAAAGGTCTGCGAAAGGATCCCTGTGGAACACCTGCACTGACTTTAAGGAGCCCTGAAACATTTCTGAGGTTCTCTCTGAGCGCAGCTTTTCCACCTGAATGCTGTAGCTGAAGCAGCTGTTCTGATAGTAACCTTATCTGACTCCAGATGTAGTTTTAATCCACCATTGACCCTCAAGATTTTTGTTAAGCAGGACAAGTTCAAGATGGTTCGGTAATCATTAGGGATTAAGGTTACCACCTTTATGCAATGGGAACATCCGTGCAGCCTTCAAGCCTTCACTGCGCCAGTTGTTTTCTGACCAGAAAAAAGATTTCTTGGCTTTATAAACAAACCATTTAATAACACAAATCAGATGTAGCATGAAACTGAGGAGCTGGTGGTGGAGGTGGGTTGCAAAGTGGTCTGCAGAGGCTGCAGCAGCTATAAGCTGGTTAAAGCTGCCGTGTGACATTTGCCACCTGGATGCGTGCTGGGTGGAAGTCTGTGTAGGTGTGGTCTGTGTACTTGATTTCGGGGTTGCTGCAGAGTTTAGTTGGGATGCAGGTGAGCTCGTCGCCGCTGACAACGATCATCGCCAGCGTGGTGATGTTGGCGAGACAGTGAGGGAGGTAATTGAAGTTGTTCTTGTGGATGAACAGGGTGACGAGCTGCTCCAGCCTGCAGAGACAAACATGAGCATTCAGACCTCAGGACGCTGACCCCTCCCCTGAAACACTCAAGAAGAGCTGCTGTCACAGCTGAAGCCCAGGTGGTCTGCCTGGTGATCCACCTGGAAATAGTGACGACATCATCAGTCACCTGTCCATGTCCTGCGGCAGGTCGGTCATGCAGTTGTTGCTGAGGTCCAGCAGCTGCAGGCTCGTCATCCTCAAAGCGCAGATGGGGATCGAGACAAACCTGTTCTCTGCAATGTCCAGGTGGACCAGCTGCTTCAGGCTGCTCAGCTACAGAGAGACGACACACAGTGACATCATCAGCACAATGTCCAGCAGGGGGCGACGTCTCTGGTTTAAGAAGAACTGATTGGATGGAGTTCTATGAGCCTCCTGCTAACTTGACCTAAGGTCTACCTTACAATATAAAGCACCTTGAGGTGACTGTTGTTGTGATTTGGCGCTGTATAAATAAAGCTGAATTGGACTGAACTTGACCTCTGAACACCATCCTGATGGTCCTGAAGGACAGTTCAACATTTTTGGGGGGCAATAGTAAATTTGACCCCTGGTGGCACTTCAGGTGTTCACTTTAATCCCATGCTCAGTTCTGCAGAGTGTCAACCTCCGGGCCTCAAGAATTGAACAATAACCAACCCTGCAGTTCCCCTAATTTCCCACCCGAGGAACCAACAGTGAGTTTGTCCCTCAGGTGCTGCCCAAACAGAAACCGGCCAACGCCTACAAACTCTGACGATTCATCGTCTCTCCTTTGATTAATCTGGACAAAGGAAACCAGCAGAGACGCCACGACGCTGCTCATCTCTTCCTTTAGTTTCAACTACTGAAAAAGAAAATAACTTTTCTTGAAGTACAAAATCTTACTAAGTGTTTAACTTCTTCCAAATGGTGGAGCCTTAAAAGCACCTAAACAGGCAAACAACATAGTTCATCATCTTAAAGTTTTTGTGACACTGAGCTGCTGTCAGGGACTGATGATGGATGTACAGCTTGACCCTCTCACCTCAAACGGCAGCTCGGACAGGTTGTGGTTTCCCGCGAGCTCGAGTCTCTCCAGTTTCTCACAGTTGCCAAGCTCCGGAGGAACTCGGCACAGTCGGTTGTAGCTGACGTACAGCTCCCTCAGCGCCGTCAGTTTACCTTAGAATACAGACGGAGGAATTATTTCGGTATCGTTTCCCATCCTCTCAGGTCGTTCAGACTCGGTTTGTGTATGACTCACCAATCTCGGGCGGCAGCTTAGTGATGGCGTTTTTGGGGATGTCCAGAACGGTGAGCTGGGTAAACAGAGCCAGGTAGTCAGGCAGTTGGCGGATCCTCGTTCTCCTCACGTGCCACTCTTTCAGGTAGGTCATCCACTGCAGCTCGCGGGGAAAATCCTGCAAATGATTTTTCTTATTCACTCTGGTTTCCTGAGAGAAAGCAAACTACAACACGTTTAAACCACAAACTTTTAACCTACTTACCATCCAGCGTTCTCCCTCCAGACAGAAGCTCAGTTTGGCCTCATCGGGATCCTGCTGGACTTCCTGGCACTGCTGCTGGTCTGACTCTAACAGGTATACAACAACGTCAGCAGCAACTGCAGCAGAGTTTACTGTAAATTCACGTATTTAAATAAACTGAACGTGAAGAAACATCTGATAGGACACATTAGCTGGCATTAAAATACGGCCTGGCTATAGTTTTGTGTAGTACCAATTTTGTACCACCAGATGGCGCATTGAGTCAGTGTAACATGCACCCGAAAACATTTGAAAGAAGCTCAAAAACTTTTTACATAATGACATTTTAAAAGGTCCTCTCAGAAAACGATGCAGCCCAACCTTCATCCCTTAAACTCTTCCTAAGATGACTAAAATTAGCAAAACTAAACTTAACTCTGTTATTAAACAGTCCAGTG